GTATTTAGGGAATATATACCGGAAAAACAGTTATGTAAAAACATACTTTTATATTATTTCACAATGGATCCATATTGTGGATTAAGACTGCAACAAAGCATAGTAATGATTCTGATTGATAAATTACTAAACTGCACGCACAGACAATTACTACACAAGTGTTGCTCACAAATAAGCTGCCTGAAAATGAAATGCTATGCATACCATTGTAAGATATCTAGAAATATCTTTCAAAAACAGGAACAGGATTTTGTGTACAGAAAGCAGCATGCCAGTGTGCTGAAAAACAAAGAAATATGTGCTAATACTAAGGACTCAGCATTCTGGTAAAATAACAAACTGTCAGTAACAGTCAAAAAGGCAAACTTGTCCCCAAAAACAGATTGTACTTTCGATAATAATAAACACATGTTTTGACCTGCAACATGTTAATAAATACATGTGTCATCAGACTTCATTAATTGCTTTCATAATACTCATGTGCTACAGAAAAGTTGTGCTTCAGCATATCATACGGCAGTTTCTAATGCCTACAGGTTGTACGCTTAAACTGATGGAAAATAACTGAGTATCTATTTTCACAAGGCTTCATTCATTTATAAACTACTGAAAGTAAGTGTATACAATTTTCAGGCTCTACATTTAAAATCAAATATCACCAGATACGTCATAACATACAGATCATAGTTATCATAAACAACCAGAATGTTCTCATGCAAGGTTTCTGAGAAGTTTTCGAGCTGTGCAGCAATGCCATTCTAAAATAGCTCCAAATTGACTTGAATTCACTTTATAATTCATAATTCAGTTTACTGAAATTTTTATAATATGATTCTGATGTAAAATATATTAATATTTAATTAGATATTTTAAATTTTATGTTCTTTGGCCCAATTCCGTTTTGTAATTTGCTTACACCTTTATGCTGAGAAAATCATGGGAATGGGAGATATGCAGTGAAAATAAAATGAATAGTTAATGCACAGCTTGCATAAAAAAAGAAGGGAGGACAGTTCTATATATCTCATTCTTCTGGACCGATTGCCGAAGTTTCACTTGTGTTTTCCATGCCTCGAAAGTGGGACTTAGGATATATATTAAATTTATATATAGCATTGTTCTAACATAGGTATTTTGACATAAAATCACACATTTTCTGAAATAATATATCAATTTTTAAAATACAAGTTTTAAAAATAAATCATAAAATATTGGTGAATTTTATTTGGAATGAACGTAAATTTCACAATGTGAAACTAAAAATCAAATAAGTTTAATAAAAAAAGAGATGTTAATAAATATATACCAAATTCAATTAACATGGAGGAGCTAAAATTTCAAGAGCTAATTTTTTAAAAATTAGTCATGCGATTTTTACAAAACTAGGCACTTTATTATAATTTGAGTTGTAGAATTGAAATATGGAAAAACTTCATAGAAAAAGTCTGATTTTGTACCTATATTAGAACCTATCAAAATGCCTATATTAGAACAATGCTATATATAAATCTAATTTATATCCTAAGTCCCACTTTCGAGACATGAAAAAGTGCAAGTTAAATTTCGACAATCAGCCCAATAGAACAGGAGATATAGAACTGCCCCCCCTTTTTGTTGTGCAAGGTGTACATACTATTGTGCAGATAAACATAATAGTGCACCATTATAGATATAAAACAAAATTAAATATAAATATTAACTGATTAAACATTGGTTGCATCTTCATTAAAAGTTTCACAGACATCTACAGAAAGACAATTCTGATCAAATGAAATTTAAGAAGAATAACTCAATGCTGAAAATCACTAGGGGGTGGGAAATGAAGTTTGTACAATTTAAATTTCATTATTTCAATAAATATCATTTGTTGCTAGGAAACTTTTGCTTTTGTAGTTTTTCTGAGGAAAGGTCAAAAATTAATATCCAAGAGACTGTGTGGTAGAACTGGCAGCTATGAAATGAATAGAACAATGAATGCTAAATCAAATTTAATGGATGATACATTATCTGCAACAGCAGCAAATGATGCACCAACACAGGCACATGTTATCCAAAATTTTTATCAAATACGACAAGATACAGTCAAAAATCTTTAATCCGGACGTCCATAACCTAGAATGATCTATAATCCAAAGCTCAAAGCTACAAACTTTCTGTGCACGCGTCAACGCATAATGCATTAACGCATGTGCATAACACCTTTACACACGCGCATATGCGTCTACGCATGCGCATAATACGTTTACGCATGCACATTTAATGTATAATGGACGGTATAAGCTAAGCTAAAATTATCTAATTATCTATTTCAGTTAATGTTGCAGATTGCGTTGTTCCTTAATCTTTTAATTGAATCCGGCTTATTTTTTGCAGACTGTTAGAGCAATTTTATAAAAGTAAGCTTGAACTTTCGATATGTCAAAAAGAATTTCCGATTCTAGAGCTACCAATGGATCTACAAAGCGAAAGCATGTTTCGATGTCCATCAAACAAAAAGTGGAGTTGCTACAAAAAATGGATAAAGGCATATCCTTTGTTTCTCTAACCATTCCGAAATATGTTTATCAATTTCACGCTACTCTGCGGAGGGGGGGGGGACAATGCGGCGTGCAATGAACTGGAAGTTGATCCGTCAGCACTATCCTTATCTTCAAGGCGCATGCTTTTATTTTATTCGGCTTATAATTCCTTACTAAATGCAGTATTTCATCTCGATGTACTCCTTCTTTGATATGATTTAAATCAAATTCCTCGTCATTATAAATATCATGAATACACATCAAATAGTTTTCTGGTTGCAATTTTCTAATTTCGAATATGCGTAATGTATGCTTTATGCATGCGCGCGTTGAAAGAAATGTTTAATAAAGTAAACAAATAAATATTAAGCTTCCTTTTTGTAAATTTTGATACCCTTTAGATCATAATTGCTCTTTATTTCATAAATTACGGTTTCATATTTTAAATTTTATGATTTCTGCATGCCATCTTACCAGATTTAAATTGATGATCTATATTACAGAAATACCGATAATCCAGAATCACCGATGAGTCTGGATTAAAGACTTCTGACTGTACTCACTTCCTGTGCAAAACATGCTAATCAAAACCTGCATTATGTATAAGTCTGAAAAAGTATAGCTTTAAAAAATTCTAATGTTTTGTAAATATATTTTTAACTCACAAAACTAGCACACACAAGATACCATTTTACTGTTAGAAGTTAAACAAAATTTTTCCATAAATATGCTTTCGTTTCTTAAAAAATATTTTCAATGCAAGAAGAGGCAACCAAAAACCCATGCTATACCAGCAATGAATGTGCTAAATTTAATATTATCAAACTTCACACAAACATGCATTGTATTTCATACACACAAATGCTGAAAGTGTTCTGAAAAAATATTAATTAAAATGTTGTAATATTATTTCAAAATAAAGTAATTAAAAGTAACATAATTTAAAGTTTTTTAATGTACTTATGTGTTGATTTATCTGCTGAACAAATCATGTTATCAACTGAAAAGCAAAACTGAACTGTTACCTGCCATTCAGAAAATCGTCAAATGGTGTTTTGGCAAGCCATCCTTTTAACAGACAACATCTGGCAACTTTCTGCAGGTTGCAACCAAGCCTTTCTAAAGCTTGCCCATTGAGAGGTATATTCCAAATTAAAAAAAATATGTGTTGGTTGCTGGCCACACAGAAAAGTTTTCCCCCCTTAATTATTCTTTCTTAATCTATTTTCAAACAATTCTTTGTAAAGGCAAAAATCAACAATCTATTTACCATAAAATCTCAAAAGTTTGCTAGAAAATGCAGGGTGAGCTCTACCTCTCCCACGACTCTGAGTTGGTATAAGAGGATGCCTTGAGAAATATGATGGATATCCTGGTCTGGTAACTGCATGCGAAACAACGGAACCATCAGCTTTAGCATAGCAGATTGAGTAACCAGATTCTTTCATAGTTGGCGAAGATGATTCAATGTCAATACTATTATTAAGTGCTTGAATTGCTAACTGCTTCTCCACAAGCTCTTCTGGAGTCTCAATTCGAGTTGGAGGTGATGGAGCTTGTACTGTTTTTATCACCTTCAGACATTTCACAGGCTGAGGTTGATTCCTATCTCAAACTGCAAGTTTCACTAATGTGGCTGAAGATGTAGAAGCTTCTTGTTTTTTACCAAAATCTTTTAGAGGCTCAGTCATACCTGCAACATCAGACAAAAGAGAGAGATTGCAAACTTGTTGATCAGATGATTCACCAGTAGTATTACTGCTATTTGTAGATGATATAGTTTGAGTTTTAGAATTCAAAGAGTTAGAATTTTTAGCAACTAACTGAATCATTTTTGTAGGCTGTGATCGAGTAACTGCACTAGAAACCAAAACTGTAGTTGAATTTGCAGAAGGCACAGTAATTATTGTTGATTTAGTGGGATTCATGGTAGGTAGCTGATTTGCAATTAAACCAACACCAGATATACTCTTCAAATTTTGCACAGAAGCAGGTGAAATTACTTTACCTTGTGGGGAGAATGAAGTTCTCAAAGTAGATGCAGAAGATACTGACACCGATTTTGATTCCACAACCAATACAGCAGCTGATTTAGCAAATGTACTGGGAACGGCTGCTGAAGATAAAACAGCATTTTCCTTTAGTGGGTCTGAAATTGGTAGAAAACTTTTTTCATTCAAAACCACACTTTGGTTCAAACGATCAATTGCAACAGTTGGAGTAGACATTGGTTGGATTTTAGCCACAGGTGCAGTTTTCTTGGCCTCAAATTCTGCCATTGCATTTTCAATCTCTTCTGCCGATATAGTATCCTCTGGCTCTGTTGGTGTCAAAGGTCGTGGAAGAAAGCTACTATCACGACCAAATGCCTTTTCAACATCAACGGGATCATTTTTCTTTGGCAAAATATGTACAGGAAATGGAACAGAAAATTTTGTATCAGAAGAGGACATTTTTGCAGGTACAACTAAATCAGATCTTTCTACCTCCATACTAGTAATCTCTTCTGAAGCAATTTCTTTGTTACTCGGACTGCTTCGACTTTTTGCTGCAGCAAGACGCTTTCACCATGTACCAGCAGCTGGTCTTCCAATTCTTTTCACGGGCATCTTTTTTACTAAATAAAAGAAAACACTAAATGATACAGCATTCAAATGTTGGTCAATTTTGTATACACAGATTTCCTTTGCGAAAAATATTTTTTTATTATTATTTTAAAAATATGCATCAAGTGAAAGTCATTAAATAAACAGTAACAGATAACAGTAAAATATTCAAATGAAATATCAGAAACATTTCTTGTTATACTAACTGCATAAACATAAATATTATTAAGATATATAGAGTATCATGATTTTATTAAACATGAATACCCCATTATTATTTCTCTGAAGTTTTGCCAAACAAGCAACCATTAGTCTATTCTTCCCTTTTGGATTGCTGTCTTTTGTTCCTTAGTTCTAACAGTGGTGAGTTAAAAAATTATGGTTTTCTATTAGTTATTATTTTATAACTTATATTTGAATTTAAATTTTTATTTGAATTTTAATACCAATACATGTGTCTATTTTTCTTCTACTTTTTTACATGTTGAATTTATTTCACATGGAACTGTTTTTGTACATTTTTATTTCATATGAATAGAGATCCGTTGCAGCAAGGAGGCATTGAAAATTTTTTTGGATAAACTACTACAATTAAATTATTTAAGATGGTTCCTACGCTAATTTTGGATGAACAGAAAAGCAATGGTTTTCCTGGAGGGGGGGGAAGGGATTCAATTGAATCTGATCTATCTCTTCTTAATAACTCAATCTGGTTTTGATTGAATCCCTCTTCCTATTTTTAGTTTATATTTTTCTATTGTTTTTGGAAATTCTTTTGGTTTGAAAACAATCCTTTGATGTTTTTAATTTTGAAATTTACTGGATTTGATTTTATTTTTTCATGTCTTTGTGAATTTGGTTTTAAATTTCTTGTCTTTTCTCTCTCTCTCTATATAGTTAATCAGTGAGTTTCCTATACTGATGAGTAGTGCCTGAAGCTTAAGAAGCCACACTGGTACAAAAATAACATTCAGACTTTCCATCAATGGTGCTTCTTATATTATATATTCACTATTTAAACCTTTTTCAAATGTACTACATTACTCTTGTTTTAATCTTACATCATAATAGTGCACCTATTCCATCCACTTTACAATCACCTGTTCTTGATATCTTGCTCGAGTAACAGCAATTAATCCCTTTTTATTGTTTGAACTTATTCACTGATAACTAACTGTGTGAACACAAATAAGAACACAGCTTTGCTTTAAAAGCATTTAATATTAAGTAATAAGCAAAGCATTATAAGGTAACAATCCGTTAGCAATGTACACTAAATTAAAATAGTACGTTATGCATAAACAGTGTGTTCCTGATTATACGGGCTAATGCCAAGGAAGCAGGTCATTGACAACTCTAAAACAAGGATAATCCAAACTTTCAATTTTCATGTAAATTTATTTCTTAAAAAAACTTCACAAAATTTTACTTTATTTATCAAAGTGCTATTTTATCACTGTACTTAAATCCCCCTTAGTTGACAAAACATGGAGCGTTTTGCCGATCGACCGTTTTGCCAATGAAAATATTCAAAGAATTTTACATTTTCAGTTTTTTTGGCATACAATTTCAGTTATTGCTTTGACTTCTTTCCAATTACATATATCTCCAATTTCTACATCGGGAAGAATCTTACTCCATGATCGAACTACTAGTGTTCTTGGTTTTATTTTCAACCAAGCTTTTGCTATTTCAAACATGGCATACAATACCGTCAACTTTTTCCACAATTCTCCTCTTCCTAAGCAAGAGTTATGAGAAGACCAGAAAGGTAAAGTCGTTTCACTGATGATATTATACTACCTGGGTCCATCGGTAAACCTAAAGACACAAATCAGCGATTTTTAACGCATGATCGGACTTGCGTGTGTTTGTTTTTTACAAACTCTCACATACAGCAGAGTGTGCGTGTGTGGGTATCACCACACATGGAAAATTCACGTACTGGATAATCCAGAATACACTATAATTCTTCCTTTGCACACTGTATCAAAAGCAGAATGTAAAGAGTAAACCATTTCATGATTTAATTTTATATTGAAAAGGCTGCTTATAAAATGATCAACTAACATTCTTGTTCGCAGAGAAAGCATTGTTAATCTTTCTGTACAATAACATCCTGTTGTGATATTTCGGTCTCGCTATACAGAATACATGCCAAGAACTTTAAAACAGTAATAAATTTCATCAGATATAGTCATTATGATAGGCTGCAGGCAAATTAACTTTTTTATTTAACTTCAGTCGCAATATAACAATTTTAAGAATGAAAGAATTATACCATTAAATAGCAAAATCTACAAAATGACAGCAAAAAGTTTATTTTATTTTGCAACATTCTCATACAAAATTAACTACACAATAATAATATATCATTACTCCCTATCCATTATCTCAGTAAAAACAGATTTCGAATTTACTTTTCTACATTTCTCATTCATTTTTTTATATTAGAACAAATAGTAATGTACAATAAAAATGGAAGCGGCATTAATTATGTATTCTGTTCATGCTTGAAAACATGTCTAAGGGAAAGGATAAATTTTAAAAACTGACAATAAAAAGATATCTTAATTCATTAGGCTGCTAGGAAGAACAACACTTAAAAAAAGTATTGAAGTTTTACTTAATAAACATTTGAAAGTAATGTTATATAAAAGACAGATTCTACAGTGTTTTATTAAATGATTAGTTGGAAACATTATGAAAGATATATTGAAGAGTTTTTTTTAGCAGGAAAATCTAAAAATTACCACAATTCTCACAATGCATAGCACAAAGAAAATTGTACATCTATAAAAACTGTTACATTCATTTCACTGCCAATAATAGCTAACTTCAGTATTTCAAAACTTGACCTGCATGAAAATATATAATTCAGATGATTGCATTTTGAAAAGACCAAATATTATCAAACTGAGAGTAGAATTAGCAATGTCTGTTATGCAAAACAGCAATTAGCATGATTACTTTAAATGCTACATTGAAAGTTATGAAAATATGGCAAATGAAGTATATTATCTATTGAATGAATCATTTTGTTACACACACATACACACACACACACACACACACACACACAAAAAAAAAAAAAAAAAAAATATTTAAAAGACAAGTGGAATGCCACAAATGTCAAATACAATAATTATTATTACACATAAAACATTTTGGTATTTTAAAATTCATTTCAGTGACAGGCCATATATCACATTGTTATATTACACTTATACTATCCAAATTACGGCTTCCCAAATTCTTTTTTAATATTATTGTTAGTATTTTGAAATGTAGGTATGTATATTATATTATTAAACAACATTTGAAATATTATTTTCCAAATACGGAATAAAAATTATTTATTTTTCCATACAATTCAAATGTTGTCTTGTTAACACACATTTTGTTTCGATGGAATTTGAAATACCAAAAGTTTACTGAGCAAAAATATATGTAAATAATACCATATATCTGGGAAGATATACATAATTACCTGTCTTAGGTGGATTAGGCTTGTAATTGACATAAGATCCAGAGTTGGATGTTTCAGAGCTTGATGGTAATAATCTGGCTTTAGGAATGGTAGTAGGTATCTGTAATAGGTGGTGAGAAAGCTATTTAATTTTTTATACAGAAATAATGCACAAAATAATAAATTCTGTTGTTTCCCTCATAATAACTTTCATTACCTTTGGCATTTATCAGATGTACAGATACTGTTTAAAAGTAAACGAAACACGAAAGTTTTCTCATTTAAAATCATACTTCGTAGGATCATTTCTGTAGTAAGATTAGCGAGTTCACTCATCGAACTTCATAAAATTCCCTGACTTGCTAGGATGTGCACTTATTTTTCAGGAACACCACTGGCCATTTGATTCTGGAACCTGCTAGCTCTGCCCCTACGACCACCCTCTTTGGATTCTGACACTCCTTTGCCATTCGGAACTGAAATGCCATGCAGTGTGCATGCCATCTCTTCAAATTATGTGTGTAATTTCTGATACAGTAGTTTTAACTCTTGCCATTATATTTTCGACATCGTTTTGCACGGAGTAACTATAATATAGGAAGACTTATTTTATGCATCTTTCTCACGAGATACTTATTCTCAGCTAAGGAAATCAGATATGCTATGTTACAAAGAGATATGTAATTGCTAATCGTTACACTCAGGATGCAGCTTAAGCCCAGAAGCCTGAACCTAAGTCTTTACTTTGTTCCTAAGTCTTCCACTGATTTATTATGCTGTTTGGAATTTCAATAGTGCTAGTACCTACCTAAGCTTTGAAGTGTTTATTTATTTATTTATTTATGCATTTCAAGTTTTTCACAACACAAACTAACCAAAAATATTTGGTATCAAGAATTTATTAGTTTTCCAAAGTTTCAGAGTTTGAAGATGTTCCTTATTTTCAGAAATGTTGCTGCAAAGAAATCAGTAAGATTTTAACAAGAATCGGAAAACTATGATGAGAAATTGCATAAATCATAAGCCGTTTGTCTTAAAATTTACTTTTGTTAAATATTTTACATTTTTATTTCGTTGCAAAAAGAATGGCTCTTTTCAGACCAGAAACAGTGACAACTAAGTGCTATGAATATTTAACTTAATGCTGTACACTAGGAGTGGACAAACTTCCTGTCAGTAAGAACCATATGTTGAAATTCAGAGAAGTTCGAGAGGCGCAACTAAATTTTCCAAAAGACACAAACATATACTTACATGCATTAAAAGTAGTATAACAGGTTTCAAATGTGAAAAAACATTTGATTCTAAAAAATCATTCAGTGACAATTTGCCTTTAGCACATCATGATGTAGTACATAGAACATGAAATTTTGTGGTTTCGTTCTTTTCTCTAATTACAGCTTGATGAGGTAAAAAGTACTCTTTTTCAGTTTTCAAATACTTCCAGATATCTTCTTGTAAATGCTGATATATCACAGTTTTGTAATGCTCATGAAACTTCAGATTCTTCTTGAATATGCATCTCAGTGATTCAAATAGTTCTTCTGCTACTTAAGAATTATATCGCAATTCCCCTGCATGCTCGTCCCATGGCAAGGATATCATATATCTACTGCCCACAAATTTTATGGATTCTAAAATTTTTCTTACCAGAACACTGTCTTCTAAGCTTTAATTGTCACCAGATTTATTACAAATTCCCAAAGCCTCCAACTGCTATAAATTTCTCATCAATCAGATGTTGAATCAACTTCTAAATTATATTTAAACAAATTTTGCATGCTATTAAAAGTTTCTGAAACATGACAAGTGTTTTCTGTTTTGCTCACAGACCACCCCAATTTGGTTCACACCGATGCTAAATGATTCACAAATTTAGCAGACCCTTTCTGTGAAGCATCTACAAGTATTTATCCATACGTTCATAAAGCATCCAAACACAAATCTTTTAAAGATTTCTTTTACAAAATTGTTTGAATCAGGAATTTTTTAAATTTTATATGCTTTTTAATAACATTTAAGTTTCTTAGTTAAGAAGAAATAAAATAATTACGTTCAGATAATAACTTTGTAGAAAGAAATGAAATAAATTCTTTCGGACATTACATAGATTTAGTTTACCATAGTTCATATATATATTGTTTCAATAAGAGCTTCACTTTCACTTGCAAGAGCTACATATGGCTCGTGAACCACACTGCTATACATAATTCAGCACTTCACACTAATGGTCACTGTATAATCAGATATTATCTAAAATCCCAAACACATGAATTTTTTGTTAAAACATTTTAGCAATTATGGTTTGAGCATTAAGCCTGCATACCAGGCTAATTAAATAAACGTGAAAGATGCCATTATATATATATATACATATATAGCATCTAAAATAAAAGTAAATTCGAGTCAAAGGCACGCAATTCCTTAACAATATTAATAAGTGCATCCTTGTATAAGAGGTTTAACACAATACCTAAATAATTCAAAATTAAAAAAAAAAATTAAAATAGTACAAATTAAAAACTAAAAATGCAAAAGGGAAAAATATACAAGACAATAAAAATATAAAAATTAATCTCCTTTTACTGAACCTCCAATTCAGAACCCATCAAGGGAAAATGAATTAAAGCTTCATAAAAGTTGATTAATATGCTTCATATAAAAGACAATGAAAGGAATGATGGACTGTATCATACATACTACAGTTTGCAAACTACTGACTGGTGTGAGAGCAAGTATGACAACAGCAGCATAATACCTTTTATCATAAAAAGAAAAGCAAATATAGATCATCATGCTACAAATCACATGCATTTATTTGCTGCAGATAAATTATAATGCAGCAGAAACTAAAAATTTCATATAATATTAAGTATGAATCATCATGACCATGTTTTTATTCAAGTTACTTCAGGTTAAAAAAAAAAGGTAGTCCCAATGGAAATTCCATTAAGAAAGATAAAATACTAAAAGAAGAAATCTCCTTACCTAATGTTGATGTTTGTTAAGCAAGCCTACACAGGAACAGAATTGGATGAGAAAGACAATACCTTGGCTCTTTTAATGGAAAAACTAGCAACATAACTTTGCTCTCAGCATCATGCAATACAAATTAAAAGGATACTAAAGTCGTAAATCTTAAATAAAGTGTCATAATACTTTCATCGTTTCCAGATTTGAAGAGCAAAATAATATCAAATCAAACATGAATTTTTTTTTTTTTGCTTTGAAATTCTATTGTTCCCCCCCCTCAAAATAATTGCCTGGATTTTTGAAAATAAAAAGATTACACACACACACATATATATATAAACCTCCTTATACAAGGTTGCAATAATTAATGTTATTGTGGAAGTGCCTTGCTTTGATTCTAATTTAATTTTAGCTTTGGATGCTTTAAATATATATATATATATATATATATATGTGATGTACCATCTTTTGTCCGGAATAAATAGATTGGTGAAGAATCATAGATGTAGTCGTAGCTCAAATGTATCAGACGATAAGTTTAAAAAACAGGATCCATTTATTATTATTCAGGAGAAATATCAGTTACACAATCAGTTCTCCGGAGTAAATAAAAAAGAACTACTAATAACTTTTTGTATGAAGTTTACTGCATCGTTACATTAAAGAAAAAAACCCCGATATTCCTTTACGAGTCCTTTTATAGCCTCTGGAAAGGCGGAGCTTCCAAGAAATGACGTCAGCCATTCCAGTTCGCTTTAAATATCTCCAGAACATTCTATAACTGTACGTGTAGAAAAGGCGGGAAAAACAACTTGACTACGGGGCTGTGGATTTAATTCTACGTACTTTCAAATAAGAGACTGTCACCATTAAAAATGAAAAGAACATACAGTTAGAATTTTAAGTGTATTTTTGACTATGGAATTTTATGATTACATATATAGAGAGAGATTGAGAGAGAAAAGAAATAGAGACATTAAAAAAATATAGATGCAATCTAAACCAAAGGAATAACTGAACTTTAGCAGCAAAATTCTATTGTAATTAAATTACATTAAATATTAAGATTATAACCCTGTAAAGTAATAAAAATATACAAAAGTTCAGATCAGTAAGAACAATTTCAGAACTCGGGTAAAAACGAAGAAGTCAAGGCTAAGTGGCCAAATCATTAGAACAGTCAGGTTCCCCCCCATTTTTATAACATTTTAGAAGGCTACAATTTTCATATTGAGTAAAATTTCATTCATTTTATATATATATATATAGTCTTAAAGCATCTAAAGTAAAAGTAATTTCGAGTCAAAGCAAGGCAAATCCTCAACAATATTAATAAGTGCATCCTTGTATAAGAGGTATAACACAATACCTAAACAATTCAAAATTAAAAAAAGAATCAAAGTAGTACAAATTCGAAAACTAAAAATGCAAAAGGGAAAAAATATACAAGACAATAAAAATATAAAAATTAATCTCCTTTTAATGAAACTCCAATTCAGAACCCATCAAGGGAAAATGAATTAAAGCTTCACAAAAGTTGATTAATATGCTTCAAAAACGTGTTTCGTTCTCCTGATTCATATGAGATCAAAAACCGAAAAAAGAAACAAATTTTCATTACATTAAAGTTTATACAAAACCGAAAAAAGTGAATATCAAATGTACCAGGATTTTTCCTGAACGCCTTCGAAACACTTGGAAAAAAGAATAAAACATAACATTATTTTGAATTGACTACACACACACACACACACACACACACAAAAAAAAAACTTTACATTACTTAAAATGACCATTCGAAAAAAAATTGGTCTAAAAACAAGTGATAGTGGTCATCTTACAGAGGTGGTGAAATTCAGTACCACTGTTTATGTTTGCAGAAATGCTCATCATTTTCAGAAGTGGTCATCTTAACGAGGGGATTAGCATGACAGTTTTATTGTACTTTGAATGTGAAGACTAATGAGTACAATAATGGCTAAAATGCTCTGATGAATTTAAGAAAACTGGATAAAGAGGAGAAGTCAAAATAATTCTGTCATAATACATAAAAGTTTTTAATAAAATGGGTGTCATAAAAAGTAAATAATTAGTTTAAAACATTTTGTAACTCAGAAAAGAGCCCAAGGCAAGCCAAAGACTATTTTTTACCTTGCATATCATTGTTATATTCATACCAATTTGGAATAATGGTATAATGTTTCAGCTAGTACAAATCACAACATGTAAAACAGAACTATCTTTCATCATTATTTTTATGTCTTTTGAAAATATCATAACCCAATTAGCATAATAGAAAAACAGTCAAATACGGAGGCTTGTGACACAGCTGATGAGCATGTTACAATAAAACTTCATCAAAGGTTCTTGTGCATGCTCAATAATGATTTCTTGTGTGTGGATTAACTTTCTGTATTGCTTCCCTCCCCATAGCTTAAATTTGTAATTACTGCGCTGACCTACCCCTAGTAGTTAACTGTATATCTAAAGCAGTTAAAAAAAACAGGTGTAAGCTAGCTAGTCCTTCTTTGTTGCACAGACATAGCCAGACCCAAGCTTCTTTCATTCTCATTAAAATCCAGTAAGCTGGAATGGTCCAGGTTTTCAAAAGAGATACAATAATGTTCAGTTTCATGGAACTGAATATTTGGTAAAAGTATACTTGAAAATTTAAATGCATAAAATGTTAAGAAGATTATCTTAGTCACTTTAGTGACTGGATGCCACAGCAATTCAGACATATAAATCTTTTAAACTGTTAATTTTCAAAATTTTTATTAAAAGAGAAATGCTTTTTTTATAAATGTGTATCCACATGGCAAGAATAAAGTCATTTTTGTAATTTCCATACTTCTGAATAGAGAAAAATCGCAAAAAATCAAAAGGACACTAGATAAAATATAACTGTATCAAGAGAAAATCATTCGTTATCAAAAGTAGTACAGGTATTTCATTATTGTCATTGCCCCTATTATTTAACTGATGAGATAAGCCTTCTTATTAGTAATTTGAGCTAAAGTAGTAACCCTACTCCGAGCTCTTGGCAAACTGCAGCCAAATGATCAACAATCCTAACTACAGTCACTTATAGTACGCCTGATGCAAGAAGAGCTCTGAGTATGGTCATTGCTTTGTAACATTCCATTAACATAAGAGTTTTTGCCATCATTTAAAAAATGGTGGTCATAAAATACCCAAGAACTACAGTAGAAAATCCAGATAGCTTACTTTTCACTACTTTTTCCAAGTATTCTTTAATAAATACTATAAACGCATCATAATTTTACAGTAAAACAGTCTATTTTGTATTAACACCAGTAATACATTTTTCATTTTGTCATGGAAATTTTCCACTATTTTAGCCATTAAAATGCCTACCAGCTTCATGACAGAAAACATCAGAAGGCTTTTGAAAACAATTTAGAAAAAGCAGAAAATGACTTACTGAGAAAGCTAACGCATATCTGAATATTTTGAAAAATTTACAGAGGGAAAAACAGTAGCCTCCACAATAGATAGGTCTATAATTTTATTTTAATAATATTTTTCTCAAAAATCTTATTTAAATATACTGTTATTACTTTAATCATATTATAAAAACTTTATTGTTAAAAAAAATATGAAATTCCCAGATAACCAAATTTCCTTTATACAAATTGCTAAAAAATTAATTTAAATATCCTACTAAATCTAATGACATCGTAGCTCTACATTTGTTCAAAAAATTGTTATGAGATTCACAAATCACAATCAAACTTTTTGCAGCAAACTGATCTTAAAATCACCAAAATATTGATAAATCATCAAACTTGGCAAGGTATGCAAACCTGAATTTCTACACTTTAAATACAAATCTGGTAATAAATCTTCAAACTGCCATGTTTAGCCATTTTGCAATTAATTTTTAAAAAAAAGTAATTTTGAATTTAATACTTAAACTAAAGTTTCTATAAAATAATGAAACATTTGTGAAAGCGTATAGATATTAAATACAGAGTCTATAAACTGTGCTACAATCTACAGTCCAAGAGAAAAATTCCCTCAACTGTATATCATCGTAGTTGACATTTAAAAAAAAGTTATTTGACTGGTCATTCCTTCCCGAAAGGAATGTTCTACATGATCCCCCTGTTCCTAGGAGCAAGGACATTCAACTCTATGTAGAAATAAGTGGTTTTCTCTAGGTTTAGATTGCTCTAACTCTAAGAGATCAAATATTTGCCATTTGCTTTGTTAAACCCGCATTATCAGGCTACTAGAAATTATGCTTCAGCCACACATCCCTGCTTCATGCATGATGACATGTTTTGACATTTGGTGCAGAGTATTCAAACACAATTTTGGTCAACATGATACCAGGAATTTTTTTTCATGCAAGTGAACACCAATAACAATTAAACATTGCTAGAAAGGCATTGTATCATTAAGTTTCACATAACAGATGAGAAACAGTCAAACAAGGGAAGCACAGAAGATATTTAAATAACGAGCATTTTATTAATCTAGGGTTACCCAAAAAATCTAACCAAGAAAAGGATGAAAGCCTTTTTTTAAATAAAAGTTTTTTCTTACATACACGTATTAAATTAAGCTGCATAAAATCAGCAGGCAAAGCTAAAAATATTTCAGGCAATCATAACCTGTCTTGAAACTTGATGCCTTGGTCGTTTCCGAACAGGAGATAACTCCGGAGAATATTCTTTTGGCTTTCTTCGTCTACGTTTGCCTTCTTCCTCAGCCTGTACCACATCTGGTTCCTCATATATTATACCACTAATAGTTGTAGAAACTGCTGAATTTGGAACAGAATGGTTTGGCAGTTTTGCAAACACACATGACAAGAAATCACTGATTTCATCCTAAAATTAAAAGTATATATAAACCAATGGATTAAAAGACATACCTGTAGGTAATCAGGAACAGATACAAATTTTTAATTTGAACTGTTTGAATTATATATGAAACCTGTAGGTCCAAATATAAGGCAGCCTCATACATAAGGAAATGAATACATTTTTGAAGGGTTTTACTTAATAAAATCTTTGTACATAAGGTGGCTTCACAAACATTTGTTTGATATATTTAAAATACTCTATAAAGAAGATAATTAAATGGTCTCAGTATCATTGAAGTGAAACTCAGCATATATATATTTTCTTACAAAACACTTACACATAGGTTATAGTTTTCGGATAAGCATTTAAAGGGGAAGTCTGACATTCAGCCTAATATGATGAATACCTTACTGTAGTTCAGCCATCCTAATCTGATAACATGTACAAGGCTAGAATAATCTAATCACAACTCCCTCCACCCATTCCTGATATTATAAATATGTACTAAGAGTCTTGAATATGTTGTGCTAAAGTTTGACTTCAATACACTCACGTATTTCGTGATCACTTCTTAAATGTGACACATTTCATTGACAGCTTTAATTAGCTGTCATATTTTGGTAATCTTTTAAATCAGTAGAATTTGCTTTCAAAGAAATTTATTAAATCTTTGGAGCTGAGTTATTTCATATATTTCACTTCCATCATTTTTAAATATATCATGTATACCTAATAAAAATATATATTGAATTTCTAATGCACCTAATGAATTTTGTTTATTGAATAAAAGCACATTATTTGCATCTAAATTAATTTTTGATCAGTCAAGCTGGATAAAAACTCTGATTATTAACTCAAAGTACTACAACATTATTAAATAGCAGAAAGTAATATGACTTCCAGCAAATCTTTTTCTAGACAAAGACAGGAATTTGAGGGAGAGAAAGTAAAAAGAAAAAAAAAAAAAAAAAAAAAAAAAAAAAAAAAAGTAAGCAAAATAATAGTCATTCAAATCAAATAATGTGCTAAAGAAATTTAAAAAAAAAAGTGGCCCTTCTATTGTAAAAATGACATACTTAGAAAATACAACCAATAAAGAAAAGTGAATTAATCATTTTTCTCTTTCACCTTTTCCCAAATATTATTTAATATATTTATTTTAACTATGAAATGTGTCTCCCCCCCAAAAAAAAATTGCTTTCATATTTACCTGGGTAAACATAAAAGAAAAAATATCCTCAGTTATTTCAAACATAAAAAACATTCAAAAATTAATAAATTATATTTTTAAATTAATTTAATTACTAATAGCTTTGCTTGCTTAACTAGAAAATACCTGGGTATGAGCAATCTGAATGTATACTTTTCAAAAGACAGGTTTCTGATTTTATATTATATATATATATATATATATATATATATATATATAAATGTTATAGTGTAAAGGTCCTGCAACACCTAGAAGAAACTTTTCATTTAGGATTAGAGGCAACCTTTCCTATATAAACATCTTTACTTTTAGGCTAAACTTTTTTTTTATTATTATTTTAGACTCCCAAAAGCTGATTACTGCAATGAGCTAACTGCAGCTATGCTAATGAAAAAATGAGGAAACAAAACATAAAATACTGAATGCAACATCCCAATCATACAACAGGAACTACTACATGCTTGTATAATGAGTTTGATAAATCTTTCATTAATCATCAATTTTATAAAGAGCAGGTACTAGAAATAAATTAGAAGTTTACTTATTAAATACAATATTAAATCTTCATATAACATGTGATTAATTTAATGAATTAAAGAGTGACTAATTTAAATTTTTCACTTAAATACTTTTGACTAATCAAACACTAGAAAATGTTCCCAAGTATTTTGCAGTAACAAACTGCAGGACCTCAATGACAAAGACTTGCAATAATCTTATCAAATTGAAAGTACTTTTTGCAGTTAACACGCAGAACATACAAACCATGTTAATGTTAAAATGAACCAAACTCAAGTGGAAATGAGCCATGATTTATTCTTAGGATACAATAATCAATAAATGAAACAAGGCTAAGAATAAGAAAAATTACTTGAATTTACTAATTTGAATGATGCTAATATTTTTGCACAATATTAAGATTGAATATGTTCCACTTTAAAACTTCTACACTGTAGTTCAATCTATTAATCTTTTTTCATGTAATGTATCGCTGAGCTATCTCAGCATAACAACAGAATAATATAACATTTTGTTACACATCTCTACATAAAACATTAACTTGATGTGTAAGTTCATGCCTCCTTTATCTTTTTTCTTGAAGAATGTTTTTTCTAGATATCACTAAAGCTGGAAACAGATATCAATATCCGAAATTTTAGCTAATTATAGCATTTGTCTATATCAATATGAATAACGAACCAGGGTACTTTTTCCCCCCATGTCATGAGGTTTGGATTGCGAAGTTGAAAGGAAACACGCATCTAGCATGTTCTCTATGGCTTTAACAAAGGTTCCAGCAGGGGTGTACTGCAATGGTAGCTTTGAGGAAGCTTAAGTTTTTAAATATACGTACCTATACGAAGGGACATGAAAAAGGACGAAGTTAATAAGTGGTCCATGTTGAAAATGTTAAAAGCTTATTGTAGAAATGAATTTCCAAAAATTAGAACTTATATTTGGTACTAAAGAATTTTTTGACAGTACATGTTTCAAGTTCTTGTGAGAGAAATTTTTCAAAGCTGAAGTTGGTTAAAAGCTATCTTCTATTAACAATGAGCTAAGTAAGACTTAACAGTTTGGCAATCCTCTCCACTGAAAATGCAGTAGCTAAAAACATAAATACTGATAAAGCTTTTAAAAAATTTTCATAAGTCTCAACCTGCAAACAAACAGTTTTAGCTTTTATTCATTGACAGAAAAGTTAAAAAAATCATCAAAAACGGCAGATTAATAAGCTTATTTAAATGTATGTTTTGTCCACTAGATGTAAGCTGTTTTTTCTTTAGTTCCTAAGATTTTTTGTTTTTGATGATCACTCATCCCACTTTGAAGATGAGTGTTTGAACAACCTAATACATCTTGATCCACATCCAACCATTCATAAATTTATCTACTAAGAATAACTCGACTGTCTTCATGTAGAACTTCAATCACATATACTGTCAAAAAAGGCTTTAGTTCCAGGTTATAAGTTAGGGATTGATACTTGGAAGTCCATTTCCCCAAACATCTTCAATGCAAACCACTTTTTAGCTTTAGCCCTTTTTATATCCCTACATGTAGCCACACCTTGCACAGGAGAAAAAAATAATAATAATAAAAAAGGCACAGTTCTATATCTCCCGTTCTACTCGGCCGATTGTCGAAATTTAACTTCCGGTTTCCATGTCTCAGAAGAGTAACTTAGGATATATATAGCATTATTCTAACATAGGTATTTTGATACAAAATTGGACTTTTTTTAAAATGACAGCAATTTTTTTCACATTTTGCTTCTACAACTCAAATTATGCCCAGATATTAAATTTTGTAAAATTTGGTTCAAAATTAATGAGGAAATTAAAAAATTTATCTTGGCGAAATTTTTTCAGTTTGTGCCAAGAATAGTTCACTTGGCAAACTCCTTAATATGTGGCAACCAATTTTCCATTCCCTTTCATCACGCCGGAGCGGGAAAAAAGGCACCTCGTTCCTATCTTTTTCCATTGTGCATGAGCGGGGAAAAAATCCCATTGTTTCTACTTCCAAATAATTTTAGCGAAGTGTCTAAATCACATTTAATGTAAGTTAAAAGGGGGGACAGTTCTATATCTCCCATTCTAGTGTGCCGGTTGATGAAATTCAAATTGCATTTGTTATGTCTTGAAAGCGAGACTTAGGATATATATTAGATTTACATATAGCATTATTCTAACATAGGTATTTTGACACAAAATCAGACTTTTTCTGAAATGACATGCCTTTTTTTCCATATTTCAATTCTACGCCTCAAATTATGCCTAGGTATTAATTTTTATAATTTTTGGTGAGAAATTTATGGAGAAATTAAAAAATATATCATACAGCATTTTTTTCAGTTTGTACCAAGAATAATTCACTTGGCGAACTTCTTAATTTACAGCAACGTATTTTCTACTTTTTCATTGTACATGAGTGGAAAAAATGTCATCTTTATACTTTCAAACAATTTTAACAAGGTGCGTAAACCACATTTGGCGTTATTATTGATTATAACAAATAAGCCAAACTTCAAAACGTGCCAGAATGTAAATACACATATATTCTAGGAAAATTTGAATAAAAAAATCTAATTTTTGCAGGTATGCTTCAAAATATATCCACTTTAAGATGATGGTGGAATTTTTATAGGTTATAATTCAATTTTTTTTCAAAAAATTTATAAAAATTATTTTAAAATACAAATTTTAAAAATAAATCACAAAAAAGGACAAATTTTATTTGAAATGAACATGAATTCAGAACGTGAAAGCAAGAATCAAATAAGTTTAATAAAAAAAGACATTCATAAATATATACCAAATTCAAATAACATGGAGGAATTAAAATTTTGAGAGATTAAGTTTTTACAAACTACTCGTGCACTTTTTACAAAACTTGGCACTTTGGCATAATTTGAGTTGTAGAATCGAAATATGGAAAAAACTTGGTATGTTAGTTCAGAAAAAGTGGGATTTTGTGTCAAAATACCTATGTTAGAACAATGCTGTATATAAATCTAATATATATCCTAAGTTCCACTTTCGAGACACGGAAAACGCCAAGTTAAATTTCGACAATCAGTCCAGTAGAACAGGAGGTATAGAACTGTCGTTTTTTGGGGGTGGGTGGGCAAGGTGTACACTTAAAACAGAAAATGCCAAACAAATGAAATGGCATCATTTATCCACACAAACACCACCAGACTACATATGGCAAACATAACAAAAGCTGCCTTTCAACAGCTTAACAAGAGGTTCTGCATTAGATATGTTCCCCATATGTAGCTGCTAGAAATTACCACTCTTTCAAATTA